TTACTAATAAGAGGCTGGAATGGGGTGGAAATTCTGAATGGGGTCTAGAATTGGAAAAGAATGGCAGGGAGCCTTTTGAGGGTTTCTGAAAGTCTTTGATTTTAACAGTGCAAAGGACAGATATAATAAGGAGGACAATTACTATGCTCTAGAAGTTACAGAAGTTTAATAATAAGCTTGTCCCTATTAATCATTAATAGGGCCAGGTGCAGTGGTTCATGTCTATAATCCTAGCACTTTGGGAGGCTGAGGCAGGAGGGTCTCAAACTCCTGAGGCCAGGAGTTGAGACCAGCCTGAATAACATAGCAAGACTCCATCTCTACAAAAATAAAAATAAATTAGCTGGGTATGGTGGCATGCACCTGTAGTCCCAGCTACTGGGGAGGTTGAGATGGGAGGATCACTTGAGCCCAGGAGTTTGAGGCAGCATGCATTCTGATTGAGCTTGGGCAACAGAGTGAGACCCCTTCTCTTAAAAAAAAAAAAAAAAAAAAAAAAAGCCTGTGCACGGTAGCTTGTGCCTGTCATCCTAGCACTTTGGGAGGCCATGGCAGGGCAGTTTGCCTGAGCTCAGGAGTTCAAGACCAGCCTGAGCAACACGGTGAAACCCCATCTCTACTAAAATACAAAACAACAAAAAAAATTAGCCAGGCATGGTGGTGTGCACCCGTAGTTCCAGCTACTCGGGAGGCTGAGGCAGAAGAATTGCTTGAACCCAGGAGGTGAAGGTTGCAGGGAGCTGAGATCGCTCTTCCGCACTCCAGCCTGGGTGACAGAGTGAGACTCCATCTCTTAAAAAAAAAAAAAGTGGCAGAGGTTCTAAGGCTATATGAAGCCCAGGAAGAGTCAATGAATGCATTCTTTTCCTTTTTCCTCTTTTTCCCTCTGCTGGGTAGCCACATCTTTGCCTTTGTCCCTCAGAGTCCTCATCGTCTTGTTTTCTATACTATTTCCAGTACTAAGGTTCTTCCCACCACTCCATATGTCAGCTTTCTCCCAGTCTTTTATACTCAGTCTTTTACTTCAATCCTGTAAGAAAATTTGGGACCACAGAGCAAAATTTAATGTACATTTTTTTAAATGCCTGACTTAGCTCTCTGAAGTTAGGAGTCTGTTTTATTCAGCATCTAACACACACTAGATGCGCAGCAGGCATTTGTTGAGTGACTAATGAACAAATGAATGGTGTTTCAGGGTCAGTTCTTTTTTGGAGTCGAACTACTAGGATGAAGAGCAAAATTGACCCTACAGTAGGTGAGGGTAAAAGACAAATTAGGAATATGATAACTATAGCAGTAGGTGGGGCAGCTGAATGAATCCTCTTGCCTCTTTTCTCTTCCTAACACCATCTCTTCTTTCTCACCATAAGTTGAGAAAAAAAAGTATTAAGAAAATAAATGAAATTGAAATTTCATTTTCTCTTTTTTATTTAGGTTGAGATTAGGCTGCCTATGACAGAAACCCTGATATAAAAGTTCTTAAACAGGAAGGTTTGCTTTCTTCCCTGAAATTGAAGGCAATCCAGGACTGGTTTAGCAGCTCCATAATCATCAGGAACTCAAATCCCTTCTCTGTTGTTCCAACAGTGTCAAGATGTGGCTTCTGTCTCCAAGACAGCTCCAGCTCTGGCCATCACATCCACATTGCAGACATAGGAAGAATTTACTGAGAGAGTGAGCATATGCTTTCTCACTTTAGTGACATTCACTATGCACACTCCATTCCCTTTTATATCTCACTGGGCAGAGCTAGTAACTTGGTCACACCCAGCAGGAAAACTGGATAATATGGTCTTCATTGTGAGTGGCAATGTGCCCAGCTGAAAATTTGAGCTTTTATTAACCATGGATGAAGGAGAGAATAGATGCTAGGGATAACTACCCATTTCTACAGAGTTGACCAGTAGATTTTCTTGGAAATACATCAATCATAAAAGATATTCAAAGAATTGATAAATAAGAGATGATATTCAATATTGTATTTAAAATATAGGTTCTATAATATGTAAAATCAGTGAGTGTAAATTTATTTACAGATACTTAGTAAATATTGTAATTGAAAGAAGTAATTATACCATTACAAATACCAAATTTTAAAAAGTACATCAATACCTAATAATTTTTATCTTAAATACATATTACTCAAGCCCAAAACATGAAGAGAAGGAGTAAAAGTATGGGTGTTTCACAAATGCTGTGCTAAATAATTAATTTGTATTCCAAGTAAGACAGGACAGCTGGTTCAATGTAGTATAGTTCTTGCTAGGTAGGTCCCACAACTAATATTTACTGACCGCTTACTGTTAACCACTCACTGTATGTGATTTCATGTTACCTTGTGGCTCTCTAAGACTGCTGTGTTATCATGCCCATTGCATGGGTGAGGACGTCGAGGCTAAGAGATTTAATTTACCCTTGTAACCCAGATTGTTCGACTCTAATGCTGATGCTTTGAGCCTTGCCTCTGCATCTTTGCAAATGCTTAAGTCCATCTGATTGACATCTTAGCACTAACAGAAACATGGCTGAAATCAATTACGAGGGGCACTGTTAACTAAAAGCTTGTTCTTAATTTATAATAAATATTTCTCCTGTACAGATGACAATCTGAATCCAACATTCTGTCACTGTCATACGGTAACTTGCCTGTTTCTAGCAGTTTTCATATTATCGAATTTTGTTCTTAGAACTATCCTATGAAGTACGGCCCCTCCCATTTTACAAATGAAAATCTAAGGGATGAGGAGATAAAATAATATGCTGGGATTGCAATCTAGATCTCGATTTTAAAGTTCAGATTATTTTTACTTAATTGTGCTACCTTAAGCTCTGAAGATAATTGCGGAGGGACCTTATGGAATAAAAACAGCTGGAGGCATCCTGTCCAGAAGTGAACATGTTATAAATAAAAATAACCTTATCCTATTCATAAGCATCTCCATCAAAACCACCTCTGACAATGCCACCTTTGCTTGTATTTGTTTGAGTATGAAGTTAGAAGCAAGAGGCTTCTTGGGAAATGAGGTTTTTTCTTCTAATTGATAATCAGTTTTTAAGAGTCTGCCTTCTTACATTTACTTAAATTTACTTCATTTCATTTTCATCGACATCACTCACTGGTTTATATCCTTGTTACTTCTTAACCAGACCACTGCATTGTCTTTAACTTAAAGTCTGTCTTTAGCTTCTCCCTAACACTCAGACTGTCCTAAAGGTTTATCTTAATCTTCTAAAATCACAGCTCAATCACCTCATATCCCTGCTTCCAATATTTGTAATAATCCCTTGACTTTTTCCCTCTGCTGAATCCATAGCATTGTCTGTACCTTTAACATAATTCTACCTCATGTGTTTTTTTAAAATTGGATTGTAGGTTCCTTAGGGCTGGAATTATGATTCATCTTTTTATACAACAAAATACCTGTGTGGGTTCTTGCAAAGCACTGTGCTGTCTGTTGTTAAATGACAGTTGTTGAATTCTTTGTTCTCTTTTAGCAGAAAAAAATGTGTTTTTTAAAAAACTACAGCCTATTATCCTTAAGCTATGGTTATAAAAGGTATATCTTCTTCCTGTCTTAGCCCTGATCCTGATCCAGAGCTCCCCTTCATTAAGGGGCTTGGGTAGATGAAAGAAAAGAAGGCTTGGAATATCTCCTTCACTGAGACAAGAGGCCATCTTCCAATTTATATGCTTCCATCTTTTAGCATGGTTGTATATGTATCTGTCTTCTTACCTTTACATATACAGGGTGAGTACCTCTAATCTGAAGTGCTCCAAAATCTGAGACTTTTTTTTTTTTTTTGAGACAGAGTTTTGCTCTTGTTGCCTAGGCTGGAGTGCAGTGGTGTGATCCCAGCTCATCACAACCTCTGCCTTCCAGGTTCAAGTGATTCTCCTGCCTCAGCCTCCCAAGTAGCTGGGATTAGAGGCATGTGCCACCATGCCTGGCTAATTTTTTTGTATTTTTTTTTTTTAAGAATATAGTGCTTTACCATTTACAAATCTTTCACATACATTCTCATTTGACTCTCACAACAACCCTGTGAGGTAGGCATCACGGATATTATTCTCATTAAACAGATGAAGACGGTAAATCTCAGAGCAGTTCACTGATATGCCCAAGGCTCTACAGTTAGTGAGTGATTTGTATTAATATTAGTCTTTGGCCTAAAAATTCAGCACCCAACTTCCCCTCATACTTGCCCCACCTACATCACAATAATAAAATGAATAATAAAATGAATCCAGGGCTAGAAAAATACTTTGAGGGGGAAAAAAAGCACTGTATAATTATACCTACAAACTATGATTTTCCACAATATATGGCTCATTCCTCTTCTCATCCCAGCTCGTGTGAACCCAGAGTTGTATATTGCCTCTGTTCTGTGCTCAGTAAGCAGATATGGCAGGCAGGGGGTACAGTATGATCCTGTTTAAAGTTACATAAATTACAATGAGGGTAACTGCTATTATTAGGCAAATTGAAAAACAGCAGAAAGGCCAGTGTGCAACTAGGACCCACTAAAGCTCAGAGCAAACCAATCCAAGATTATCAGACAAGCCGTGATTGCATAGAAGGAAAATGTGTCAGAGTTCAAACTGGCACACACACACAGTTTTCTAAGGCAAAGTGGTGGCAAAGAAGAGTTGTGTGTTCCATGTTACACAAACAAGAGCAGAAGACTCATGAGAACCCGTAAAAAAGCATCTTGTGTCACACAGATCCCGTACAAAAGCATCTTGTGTCACACAGATCTCTCCAGCTGCCTATAGGGAATATACACAACAGTGTCACCGTCAAAGAATGACTGTACCTGTGTTCATATCCTGAACTACACCAAGGAATAGCTCCATGCTAAACTGCCTTGGCTAAAATACAACCAGTGCCATCATTCCTAATCAGACTAATAAACAGAATGTCTTTTAAGGTAATGAGTTAGATGGCTGTGTTTAGGTTTTTTCAGGATTTACTTTGGATTCTCCTGCTTTAAGACCCGAAGAAAGTTATATTGAGTTTTTATTGATGATTCTATGTGTTTTTAACAGAATGTGACAGGTGAATTAAACATATTAAAAGAGTTCTATAGCATCTGTTCAGAAAAGATTATATACTATACAAACTATTCAAGTCATACAAAACCATTTTTCATTGTCTTTCAACTGAGAAGAATCCTATTCAGCACGCTTCTCCTCCTGAGGTGGTTCATACTGAGCAAGCTTTGCTTTCAGTTTTTTATTTTCTTCTACAATAGCTTCGTATTTCTCTTTCATTTCAGCCAGTTCTAGGCGAAGCAGCTCTATTTCTGGATTTTCTGGGGTAGCAGCTCCTAAGTGATGCTTTAAAAAATCCAAAGCACTGTTAGGTTTCTCTGGTTCTTCATATAAGGCTACCAACACCTTGGTCAGCGTGTCCAGCACCCCAGACTTCTCCAAGTACCTCCGGAACTGCTCACGCTTCGAGTCAGCGGCTTTGTAATGGGCCATAGTGACAGCGGCAGCGGCATAGCTGGCCCCGGAGACCGCGACTGTTTTTTTGTATTTTTAATAGAGATGGGGTTTCTCCATGTTGGTCAGACTGGTCTCAAACTCTCGACCTCAGATGATCTGCAGAAAATTCCATACATAAGTACTTAAACTTTTATTTATGCATGAAATTATTTACAGTATTGTATAAAATTACCTTCAGGATATGTGTATAAGGTGTATATGAAACATAAGTGAATTTCATGTTTAGACTTGGGTTTCATTCTCAAGACATTTAATTATATGTGTGCAAATACTCCAAAATCTGAAATACTTCTGTCCCAAGTATTTGATAAAGGAGATACTCAGACTGTAATCTTAGGGAAAGTTAATCTCTAAATCTGTTTTGTGACTATACACTTCTTTTTACTTCCTTTAAATCACCCATTATGTACCAAGGGATTTCAGTGCTGGAAAAAGATGGGCCATTTCCTACCCTTGGACCTTTCAGTCTAATAAGGGGGACTCGCTAGCTCACTGGGAATTACAGTGCTTAGAGATAAATGCTGCCACAGGGAAATTTACAAAGGAGAATATCCAACTTAGACTAGGAGGGGTCAGGAAAGGGTTTTCCAAGGCAGTGACTTCTAACTTCAGGCTGATGGTGAGGGGTGGGCTATGATTAGAGGGGAAAGACTTGCAGTCAGAGAGAGGAGCACATGCATAAGTCTAGGAATGATTCTAGCAGGTGGAATGTGAAGTTTGGTGGTGGTGTGAGGCTGGAGAGGAGGTGGTATGGTAGCACTATCTCTTCCATTGAAATGCACATATTTAATTTGCCTTGAGCCCCTCATGCACAGTCACTGCTTTCACTCCTTTATACCGCTGCTGAGAAATCTTTTAGGGCTCCTTTATTACTTCCTGCAGTGTCTAATCACTTTTACTAACTTCTTTTACTGACTTTATAGACTCCCTAAAACAGCCTGTGTTCCACTACTAACTCACTCATCTCCTGCCAGAGCCAGAGAAACCTCTGTATTGTCTCTTGAGTTCATCTAGTTCATTCTCTCCTCTGTATCATCTCCCTTTACTCATCTTCTAAGCCTTTACTGACTCCCTACTTCTGGATATTTGCATTTAGGGGTGTATAATTTAATACAAAATTACATGTTGCCTAGAATTGTTCTCTAATGGTTTCTGAGTATTTTATGATCAACTGGATTGTAAGCTGCCTAAGAGCTGGCTCTGAAGCTGCATTCTAAACTGTTGAATAGTGGAAAGAAAAGGGAACTGGACCTGAAGTCAGAGCAGACATGCGTTTGACTTGTAGCTCTGCCACTTGTCAGCTGTATGATGTTTCTTCTTGGGTAATACAGGAATAATGAGATACATCTTAAAAGGCTGATGTAAGAAATTGTGCAAGTCATTCTGTGGGAAATTAATTTGTATACCATAAAACCCTATATACATTTTACATTTTATTCTATGTGCCTATGTGGAACCATATTCATTTCTTAATGTGAGATTTTAATGTTTCCTTTCCAGACTGTAGAATCTTGAAGATTCCAGACTTATTTTTTTCCTTTGAGACATATTTTTCTCTAAGCCACATCCCAATTATTTTTCCTCTGTTTCACCTATTCCCAGCCCATCCTTAAACTTATGGATAAAATAACTTTAGGCAGCTGAGAATAGAATCTTTTGATATTCTTGCTTTTCTTTTTTGAGATGGAGTCTTGCCCTACTGCCCTGGCTGGATTACAGTGGCTCACTCTTGGCTCACTGCAACCTCCGCCTTCCAGGTTTAAGTGATTCTCCTGCGTCAGCCTCCTGAGTACCTGGAATTACAGGCGTGCGCCACCATGCCAGGCTAATTTAGTGTTTTTAGTAGAGGCGGGGTTTCACCACGTTGGCCAGGCTGGTCTTGAACTCCTGACCTCACGATACAGCTGCCGTGGGCTCCCAAAGTGCTGAGACTACAGGAGCAAGCCACCACACCCGGCCATTCTTTTCTAGAACCCATTCTTTTGATTATTTATTGTCATATCTCTCCTTAGACCAGATTCTTAGATCAAGGGGTCCTAGCAATGGCTTTCTTGTTAGGTACTGAAGTGTTGATTCTGAGGTTCAGAACTAGGGATCTTGCTTATGCTAACACAGGACCAGAGTGGAGAATCAGAGAAAACAGAATCAGAGGAAACAGACACATGTGTCTAAGACCCAAGTGTCTGGAATAGATATGGCCAAGTTAAAAGGCTATTTTATTTTTACCTGCCACTTACATTGGGTGCAGAGATACCTAATGTTTTGAGTGTTGGGTACCTTAATATCTAAGACCTTATGTTTTGTGTCACCTTAATATCTATGAACCTTACTGCGGGGTTCTAAGAGCTTGAAGAAGCTCAGCAAAATAGAATGTAATTAGATACAAACTTATATAGAAAAATAACTTGAAGATTTCTTTCCTCACCAGGAAAAACAGCAGCTGGGTGTGATGGCTTTCACCTATAATCCCAGCACTTTGGGTGGCCAAGGTGGGAAGATCACTTGAGACAAGGAGATAAAGGCCAGCTTGAACAATATAGAAAGACCCTGTCTCTACAAAAATAAAAAAATAGCTGGGTGTGGTGGTATGCACCTGTAACACCAGCTACTTGGGAAGCCAAGATAGGAGGATGGCTTGAGCTCCTGGCTCAAGACTGCAGTGAGATATGATCATGCCACTGCACTCCAGCCTGGGTGACAGAGCAAGAACCCATCTTAAAGAAAATAAGAGAAACAGAGTAGATAAATCTTGTTATTGGAGGAAAGGAGTGGATTGAGGAGGGAGAGGTGGTAGGAAGTGGCAACACTTGAAATTCAGTATTCACAGCATCTTAAGCAATAATTCACACTCAAGAAAAAGATTTAATAAAGCAAAATCATTCCTGCTTTTCATAAGAATTTGTTCTGAATAGTACAGTTGTCATAAATCAAGTGCATTTAGTCTGGAGACCAACTTTTTGGTTCAATTACTGTGTTTTAACCCATGCTTTCTGTTGTTCTTAAGAGAGTCCTTAGTCATCAGTGGCCAGGAAGAGTCTTTCTGGGACACAGAGCTCTATGATGCTTAGAAATTGTAGGTCTTTGAAATTCTTTGTATAACTTAGAACCATTCCTCCTCTTTTAGTCTTTCATTTACTGCTTGCATTATTGTAAATCTCCCACAGTAAATAATTTTCTTAAGCAGAGAAGGTAGAAAAGTATCTGAAAACCATGTTCATACACTAAATCTGATTCAGAGTAGGCACGAAGCTATATGTTAGACTTATGAAGTGAACAATTTAGACTAAATCTAAAAGAGACAGTTAATATACATAAAGGTAATCTTCAAACCCAATTCAGAGATACCCTCTCTCCTGTCACCATTGTGTAATCCTATACCATTTTTTCATTTCTTCAGCTGCAGATTTGTAGGAAAGTTTTGAGGGTTGTTGTTTTCTGATACATATTAGGAGGCTCTCTAAAATGGTCTCTTTGTCCAATGCACGGCTTTCATGACCCAGTCTTTGTTCTGTGCCAGTTCTGAGATTGGGGCAATTATTTGTAAGTAGTAGATTATCTTTTGCTTCCATTTCTATGTGTTGCCTAGTCTTCCATGTAGCATCAACTAATACTATTTTCAAGAGATGCTTTTTTATGACCCAAGGGCACTAAAAGTAGAACCATCTTGTTTAACCCTATCTTACCCTCCAGTATTGCCTGGAAGAAAGGCACTGGTCTCTTAATGAAAGACCACTTTACTTCTTTGCTGCATGGACTTAATGTAATAGAAAATCATCAGACAGTATTTAACAAACATACATACATACAAATGTACCAGAAGACTTTAAGGTCAAATTTGGTCCCTGTGATAACAACAACAACAAATTGGCCCCATTAGAGAGAAAATTCTCATTCCCATTCTTCCCCTACTCCAAAAAGTTATCTGTACTGTAGAATTTTTAACAATTATTATGGGAAGATAGATACAACAGATATATTTAAAAAGTGAATGCCGTTCACCCATAATCCCATTCCCTGAAGAGAAACTTTAGCAGTTTTATTTTCAAATACCATAAAATTTATATAATCTATTACATTAAAACCTAAAGCTATAAAACTTTCAGAAGAAAACAGATGGAAAAAAAAAGTTTACAAACTGGAAGTAGGCAAAGATTTCTTACATAGAATGCAAGCATGAGACATTAAGGAAAATATTGACAAATTAGATGATCATATCAAAATTAAAACATGATTTTCAAAAGACACTTAGGAAAATGAAAAGGCAAGCCACAGACTGAAATAAAATTTGTAACATGTATATCAAAGTACTTGTATTCGGCTGGGCGCGGTGGCTCAAGCCTGTAATCCCAGCACTTTGGGAGGCCGAGGCGGGTGGATCACAAGGTCAAGAGATCAAGACCATCCTGGTCAACACGGTAAAACCCCGTCTCTACCAAAAACACAAAAAATTAGCTGAGCATGGTGGTGCGTGCCTGTAATCCCAGCTATTCAGGAGGCCGAGGCAGGAGAATTCCCTGAACCCAGGAAACGGAGGTTGCGGTAAGCCGAGATTGCGCCATTGCACTCCAGCCTGGATAACAAGAGCGAAACTCCGTCTCAAAAAAAAAAAAAAAAGTACTTGTATTCAAAATATATAAAGAACACTTACAACACAATTATAAGAAAATAACCAACCCAATAAGAAATGGACATATGTCACAAAAAATATATATATGTATATAAATGGCCAGTAAGCACATGAAAATATGTTCAGTATCAAACGTTATCAAGGAAATGCAAATTAAAATCACAATGAGATTATTACTACATCAGGCATCTTGGTTGTGGGAGGCGGAGCTGTCCTCTGCATTGTAAAATATTTAGCAGCACCCCTGGTCCCTACCTGTTACATACCAGTAACACCCTCCCCCTCACCAGTTGTGAAAATTGAAAATATATGCAGACATTGTCAAATGTCCATGAGAGACAAAAATCACCTCCTGTTGAGAGCCACTGTATTACACCCATTAGATTGACTAAAATGTTTTAAATTGACAGTGC